CAAGGGGGAGCGGCTGGTCAGGCACCAGAGGATCCACACTGGGGAGAAGCCCTATTGCTGCCCTGCCTGTGGCCGGAGCTTCAACCAGCGGTCCATCCTCAACCGGCACCAGAAGACGCAGCATCGCCAGGAGACCCCAGGGCAGTGAGGGCGCCCGGCCGAAATGCCCGTCTTTTGCTCACAGAAGGTGCCAGAGAAGGCGGGGCCTTCTGGAACCACCAGGCGGAGGGAGACCTCGTTGGAGGATGCGCCCCACTTTACTCACTGAAGGGTTGGGGGCATCGAGGGACGTTGGGGGCAGAGTGGCGCTTTCACCCATTTTCTTTCCACTCGTTTCACACATAGGGGAAGGGAGAGGCCTGGTTTATTTGAGAGGCCAGAGGGCACAGCATCTCAAGTCTCCTACCCAAGTGGTGCTCGTACTTTCTCTTACCCTTTTTGAGGAAGTGGTATCCGGAGTTTCAGTTCAGGTCCCGGTTTTTCTCCTTCAGTGGATGTTCACGTCTACCTCCTGAGCGAGTCTGCTTGTCAAGGTGAAATCTTGTCCCATGTCGGCAGCTTGAACCTCATTTTTCTGAGGACTGTGTCCCTGCAAGAACATTAGCTCTGTCTCCCTTCCTTCCCCCAATTCTCTTTTCCATTTAACAGATATTTATTTGCTAAATAACACCTACTGTGCGCCTGGTGCTGAGAGTGCTGTGAACGAGACAGATGAGACCTCATTCCCCTGGAGCTTGTGATTGGGCCCTGGAAGCAGACTCATTAATAACGCAGAGCGCCCTCAGTTCCCTTCACAGCGAGTGCGGAGCGAGAGGAAGTCCTCTCAGGCTCATTCTGCGCTCCTGCCCTGCCCCTCCAGGTGCCTGATCTTTTCCTCCCAGCTGGGGTCGCTCAGGCAGCCTCCTTTATTTTACTCTATTTGCGGCCCCCTTTGTCTCTGTGACAGTCTACTCGTTGGTGGTTTCCCCATTCCATTATTCCTTGAACAATAACAACTGTCCACACATCTGTTAGGAAATTAATATTTTGCTGTTGATCACTGTATAAACATGAGAGTATTTTTAAAAACATCCAGGTCTGTATAAAATTCTAATTAAATGAGGCCAAAAGATGAACTAGGTATTAATGCCCTGTGTTTGATGGCACTTTACAGTGTACATAAAATGCGCTGCTTCCCTGTGTGCTCACTTGACTCGTTCCACAAATATTTATTGAGGCCCGACAGTGTGCCAGGAACTCTTCTAGGTGCTTGAGGTACATCAGTGAATAAAATAGGCGGGGTGTGGAGGTGGGGTGGGAAATCCCAGTCCTCTTGGAGCTTACGTGTTGGTCAATGTATTTGATCTTCAGAACCACCCAAAGTGGAACCCGTGGCTGCTCCCCAGGACCCTCTGGACCTGGCGTCTGAGCCTCTGCCTCAGTCCTGTCAGCTGGCCCTGAAATGCATTCGCCACCACCTACCTCTTGTTCCTGAATCATCTCCGTCCTCAGTGCATCTCGGTCCTTGTCATCTGAGAGGTACTTGGGGTCCTCAGGGCCTCCTGGAGATGATGAGACGGTAGCAGTCTGTTTTGCATGAGAGCCAATTAAGGAAAAACAAAGATGTTTGTAGGCATCAAATAAAACACATTTTTTAAAAAATGAGAAGATGCAGTGTTTGTAAACGTGTTTAAGCTTTCTTATATTATTTTGCCGTCGTTAAAGGTTTTCCTTTCTCTTGGACATTCTGGAAACTGCCTAACTAGCCTGGACCGTGCTGCAGTGTCGTAATGCTGTGCCTTTGGACGCCGGCTGCTGAGTGATTAGTTTTCTGATGGGACTGTAAGTTAGTCTGTCTTTGGACTGTGTCCTGTAATTGCAAGATGTGATTTGTCTCATGGTGCCTCTTGATATTATATTCTTTCACTGGGATTTTTTTCCCCCCATTTTCCATTGTAAATAAGGTAAATGGTAATGACTTTAATACTGAGAGTTACATTACTCAGTCCACCTTGAAAAACATTATTTTATCACTCATTTCTTGGCAGATAACCGTGGTGTTTACTTTTGATTTAGCGAATGAACTCCTGGCCCTTCAGTTGTCCCCACGAGGCTGTGCTGACCAGGGCGCTGTGAGATGTCCACTCTCTGAGATGCTGGGCTGCTCCTTCTCAGCAACATCGAGGTACAGGTGCAGAGTCAGCTCTTTTCTTCCCCATGCCCCAGACAAGCCAGGCAAGGCTTACAGCCACCTGGAGGCCAAACCCAGTAAGAGGCTTTTCCTAAGCCTCTGTCTGGCCTGTAGTCTGTGTGACGTGGGGGCTGACCTGACCTGAGTTTGGCCTTTTCTGGAAGGTCTGTATTCCAAAGCTAGGCGGGGAGTTTGGGGCCAGCGTGGCCTCCGAGTTGCTCATCAATGGGCTTCTGTTTACCTGAATTAAGTGGTAGATTCTCTGATCGTACACTGGGTTTCCAGTCAGTTGAGATCTCTTGAGGGAGTTTCTGTAAGAGGACTTGTTGTCTTTCCCACGTGGGCTCCCCTGTCTGCTTTGAGACCAAAGCGGACAGTTCCTCAAAAGAGTCTCAGAAGAAATCTTTCCCCATGGAGTTGTAGTAGCCTTATTTTTGGTATCTATTCAAATGTCAAATATTGTTTTCTGTATTTTTCTATTTAGGAATTTTTCATAATAGAAAATTTCAAACATAGATAAATGAATCCTCATGTATTCATCATTCAACTTTATTTATTTATTTAATTTTTGTGGTACATGGGTCTCTCACTGTTGTGGCCTCTCCCGTTGCGGAACACAGGCTCTGGACGTGCAGGCTTAGCAGCCATGGCTCACGGGCCCAGCTGCTCCGCGGCATGTGGGATCTTCCCGGACCGGGGCACGAACCCGCATCCCCTATATATATATGTATATATATATATATATATATATATATATAAAACTGAATCACTTTGCTGTACAGCAGAAATTCACATAACATTGTAAATCAACTATACTTCAATCAAATAAATTTTTTAAATGTATGAGTAAACACACATATACCTCCTCAGCCTCATTTTCTACATTTCAGTCACACTAGCTCCTTTTCACTTCCATAAACATGGCAAATTACTCCTATCTCAGGGCCTGCCACCAGCCATTTTATCATACTGTGCACTTTCCTCCTGGATGACTGGTGAGCCTGACCGCCATTTATCATTCAGATCTCAGTTAAAATGACACCGCTTCCAAGAGGACTCCTCTGATTATCTAAAACAAAACACCTTCTCAAAAAGTAATTACTCTCTGTTGTGTCAATCCTATTTCTTTATCCTTCATAAAACCTACTACACTTATAAGGAATTTTGTGTGTTTTTGGTTTACATTTTATTTCTTTTTCTCCCCATGAGTCAATAAGTTAAGATCCTCAAAGAAAAGAACTAGCTCTCTTGTTTACAACTGCATTTCCAATTGTAAACATTCCCCACTGCAAACATAAGTAATTCATCCACATTATAAAGGTTTTATCACTTTCCACAGATATTTTCTATGGATACTTTAAAATACTTGTTACTTTAAAAATTTGACTCAGTAAATTCATTTATTTATGTACTCACAGACCTGTAGGGTCATGTATAGTTTGATATCTTGCAAAGCATTTTATGTAGAAAGTAATTTGATAAGTGCAATGATAAAGATGATTGGATTATATGACACCAATAAATGCCTATGTAAATGATAGCAGGGTGGCAGAGAGAATAAAGCTTCTAGGACATAGTTAACCAAAACTTATTTCTTTAGAATGAATAACAAAATAAGGATTGGTAAGGAGCATTAAGGGCAAAAGGAACACCATATACAAAGGCTTAGGACTGAATAAAAGCATGCAGATATCTAAATATGAAAAATAATATGCAGTTATGGCAAAAAATGTATTTTAAGGATTTTAAATTTAAAATGACAAGTATAATAATTTATAGAATGCTTAAATGCAAATTACATCTGATCACATTTGCCTTTTAAAAAGATCTAACCTTGAGGCTTACTGAGAACTCATAGATAAGATCCACAATTGAAGTGTTTCAATAATCTAAGTAAGAAATCGTTAAGACACCAACTAAGGAGTAAACATGGATATAGATGGTTTCAAGACAGAATTCTTATGGTAGAAATTTTCAGATGAGGTGACTGATAAACTACAAGAGGGAGGTAAAGGTCAAGGGTGACTCATTGGTTTGTGATTGGATGATAGAAAGATTCACTGTGAGAAAGGAACCTCTATAAAATTTAAGTTTGAGCAAGTTAATTTTGAAATGCCTGGGAGATTTCTAGATTGGGATGTTCACTAGTTGAGGGATTGAGAGATCAGTATTGGAGGTAGAGATTTTGCAGTTATTACAAACGATTATTCTGAAATCTTAGGTGTACTGGATTCGATAATCAAATAAAGCAGGGGTCTCTAACCCTTTAGCCATGGCCTGGTATGGGTCTGCGGCCTGTTAGGAGCTGGGCCACACAGCAGGAGGTGAGCAGTGAGCGAGCAAAGCTTCATCTGCCACTCCCCATGGCTTGAGTTACTGCCTGAAACATCTCCTCCCCCACCCCCCCTCCCCTGCCACCAGTCCATAGAAACATTGTCTTCCACGAAACCGGGCCCTAGTGCCAAAAAGGTTGGGGACCACTGAAATAAAGTACAGTTGACCCTTGAACAACTCAGGGACTAGGGACACTGACCATCCATATAGTTGAAAATCCAAGATAACTTATAGTCAACCCACACTGTTACATAGTTCCTCTGTATCTGTGGTTGAATATATGCAGATTCAACTAACCTCGGATGGTATAGTAGTGTTGTATTTACTGTTGAAAAAAATCTGCATATAAATGGACCCTTGCAGTTCAAACCCATGTCATTCAAGTTTCAATTGTATGTTTTACTTCTATGTGGTAAATAACCACTTTGAAAATTTGAAGTTGAACTTTCAACTCACCAGAGATATGATAGAATTTGAATTGGACAGGAAAAAAACTGTGAGCAATTTGGCAGTCTCCTTGATTAATGAGGAGTAACTATAAATTCTAAATCAATAGATGACTTAGATGAGAAATTTGTAGTACAGATTGGATAAAAATTTTAAAAGAAAGATCAATATTGTTGGAAACATTTTGAAAGTTAACAGTGAAAATAAACTCTGGTGTCTTTAGTATTGTTGCGGTCCGGGAGCCACACGCCTGGAGTCAAGTTCCCCGGTAAATGCGACCCGTGTCCCAACCAAGGACACCCGAGAATCACCAACACCAAGCAGAAAGATTAGCAAAGGATTTATACAAGTACAAGTATAGAAGCTTACACAAACTGTCCGGACAGGGTCCCACTCGGAGAGAAGTGAGTGAGACCCCGACTAACAGCCGGGCGAGGCTTTTATACCCTTCACAGGGTGGGAAGTCCCCAAGGCGGGAGGGAGCTGTTTAATTTTGAATCAGCCAATCAGGAACCCGGTTCTTCCCGCCCCAAGCAAGCAAGCAAGTTTCTTACAGAAGCCAAAATGTGCTGTTAGCCCTGAAGCTGTTCTTCCGTTTCTTTCGTCACAGTATATTAGCTTTTAGAGAGACTGGGAAAAAGTGGTGGTAGAAGTCTGTATTTGCCTTCTTGAGTCCCACCTGCAGAAGCTGTTTGAGTCTTACACCATCTCCACGTCTGTGAAAAATTTGAGAAAATCCGGTCTCTATCATCTAGACATTTCGCCCACTCCTGTGGAAGGGCTCAGCATGTGCTGTGAACTGGAAGAGCAGAGTGAATGATAAACAGTTTATCGTTGAGAATGAGTGTTCCCACTAGGTTTTCCCAGTCTTCAGTTCTAAGCATTCTAAGGTGCTAATGGAAAGAATGGAAAATAAGAGGTGGAAAAACCAAGAGTTTAAACAGCGTGGTGGTAGCATAAATGGAGGGATGGAGTGGAATACAGGGTTCAGAAATAGACGCAGCTCTATATGGAAATTTAGCTTATAATAAAGATGGTATCTCAAATCACTGGTCATGCTGTTAAATTAAACAAGGAGACCATTAGATGTGATTCTAAAGCCTTGGCAGCCTATATAAGCAAACCAAAACCTCAGCCTGTAAATGCCTCAAGGTTAAAAAAAAATCGAAACCTAAGGACAACCAATCACAAACAGCCAACTTGACTTTCCTGTATAAGGAAGCCTAAGCTATAGTCACTCAAATAATTTCCTCCCTTTGCCTTCTTGTCTTCTCTGTGAATGTCTTGCCCCTACATCCTGTGGCTGGAATGATATTTGCTCAGATAAACTCTTAAAATTTTTACTATGCCTCAGTTTATCTTTTAACAATGCTTTTCAACAGAGATTCTCAAAGTGTCATCTGAAGACCACTTACATCAAAATCACCTGGGAACTTGTTTAAAATGTAACTAACTGGGGGCGGGGGTGCTTCCCTGGTGGTGCAGTGGTTGAGAGTCCGCCTGCCGATGCAGGGGACGCGGGTTCGTGCCCCAGTCCGGGAGGATCCCACATGCCACGGAGCGGCTGGGCCCGTGAGCCATGGCCGCTGAGCCTGCACGTCCGGAGCCTGTGTTCCGCAACGGGAGAGGCCACAACAGTGAGAGGCCAGCGTGCCGCAAAAACAAAAACAAAAACAAAAAAAAACTATTTAAAAAACGTAGATAATGGAACTATTTTTTCCCCTTCTTTTTTAAAAAAATTTATTTTAATTTATTATTTATTTTGGCTGCACCGGGTCTTCTTTGTGGCGCATGGGCTCTTCATTGCGGCACACGGGCTTAGTTGTGGTCTGTGGGATCTCAGTTCCCCTACCAGGGATCGTACCCGGGCCCCCTGCATTGAGAGCTGGAGTCTTAGCTGCTGGACCACTAGGGAAGTCCCCTACCCTTTCTTCTTGAACATTTTATTTTTAAATAGAAGTTAACATTTTGGTATCTTCACACGATTGGGTTTATGCTATCAAGTCTCTAAGAGTGGCTGAGCTTCTGAACTTTTTATAATTGACCTGTGTGCAGGTCATTCCTTCTTATTTACCCTGCAGCAAGCAGCCTCCAGGCCAGGACTTGAGCCAGGCTGAAAAGGTGTTTGCTGTAAGAGAAGGGTTATCTTATCCTACGCCCTTCCTTGGAAAAGTAGGCATCAGAGCAGGCAGTGTCCTCACAACCCATGGATGAGCAAGGTCAGCTGAAGGTCTTTCAAATTTATTCGTTGCTGCCTCCCCCCAACTTTTTTTTGTTAATCTTTTTCTTGTTCTTTTTTCTTTTTTTACCTTGAGGCCAAACCATTGTCTTATTCACCATTATAGTAAATGCATACGAAGACCTCTTCTCCATGCTGACGTCAGCTTTTCTTCACATCATTTTCATGGGTTTGAGGTGAGATTTTATTGCTATTATTGTAGTTTTATGATTAGAGACCCAGGAAAGCTGAAATCCAATAGTCCCAACTCCTGAGGGATCCCAAGGAAACAATATGTTCAAGGAACAATAGCAAACTTTGAGCCAAAGTACAACTCTGTTAGTATCTGAGTTATACCCAGTAACCTCCATCATGGGCTCACTGGTAAAAGGTGGGCTGAAAAGTAGCTTTGGCCTCCCTTGCTTCCCACTCTCAGCCCCAGATCTGAATTGAGGACCTGTGTGCTCAGGCATGGTGGGGAGAGAGAGAGAGAGACAGAGAGCGAGAGAAGTGACTGGACCTAAGTGGAGACTCCAAACAGAAATACTGATAGAAGATGAGCAGTCGGGGGCCAGGCTGGAAGGAAGGGAGCTGCATGCCTGGATGATGACCCTTTAGGGCACACTGCCCTTCATAAAATATGGACCAGTGAACTCCTTGGGCTCTGATCAACCAGCTTGGTAAACTCTTTCTCCTTGTCTGGTGTTGGGGAAATATAAGAGTATTGGTTAAGGCAAAATCATGGGGAGAAAGGCCATAAGCGTTTTTTTTCCATGTCTCCTGTCAATTTAAATCAAAACATTAAAATTAAAAAAATCTTTAAACTCGACTCCAACAATCCTGTTTGGGGTAGAGTTGAGGTGAACTCTGCAAAGTGGAAGAATGCAAAGCAGAGCATGAAAGGGGCTATAATAGAATTCAAATTATATGCAGTTCCAGAGCAGAAAAAGATACTTCCTCTTGACTGGGGAGACTTGACCTGGCTTCACGAAGGGCGTGGTATTTTATGCGAGCTTGAAGGGCAACTAGAATTTTGATAGAAATGAGCAAAATGGGATGGCTGGAATAGCATGAGAGGGACAAAAATGCACGGTGTGTTTGGTAGAATGGTCAATTTCAGAGAGACTGGAGTCAAATGGCTGGTAATCGGAGGGGCCAGGACTGGATGCTGGTTGTGCTGACTTTCTGGGTAATGCTCTCCCAGCTCTGCCATACCCCTTGCAGCCTAGGATATTACCCTGTTGCTTAGGAGGCCACATACAACTTGTTCAGCCATAAACTTCTTACATGAGGCCTTTCCCCTTTGTCTCCTTCTCCGGGTCCTTCCTGTAGAGAAGCACCTTCATAAGGATTATTGTGGCTCATGCCTTTTACGTGCTTCACACCCAGAGAACCAGCTCTAAGTCTAGCCTCTCTTCTCTCTTTACCGTGTGGCCAGCAGACCTCTCTTTCCTAAGAAAAGCACATAAATGGGACAGTATGGGGCCTGCCTTGGTGTTCAGCTGAGACAGTCATTATAGGAATTCCTGATACAAGTAGGTAGAGCTGTGGAGCTCCACCCGGCAGGACCCAAGGCCGAGAGTGGGACAGGTTTGCGGAGGACCGTGAAGCCTGTCTCCAAAGCTAGGTTCACCCCAGGGTGTGGGATGGTGGTGGAGGAACTGGAGGAGTTTGGAAACTGGGATGCTTGAGGGTTAAGGGTCTGAGGCTCTGTGGGGTGCGTGGGGGCACTCAGAGGGCATCTCTTTGGCACAGGCTGTCAGCATAGGTCACAGATTCCTATGAGCTCACCCTTCACATGAACCCCCTCCAGAAGGTCTGCAGATAGAGCTAGTTTATACCTGTTTATGTGGTCCTGTCTTTACGGGAGAGTTTATTCCCCTTTGGTAGTCTGGGCAGTCAGTGCAGGGGCCAAGAAGTTTGGGACTTGCAGGTTACTTATGGAGCAATGGGAGGCTTCCCTGGCCATGGTGACAGTGCAGGACAATGAGGTCTGTGCTCTTCCCACCCTCTCTGTGTGGAGCCTGTCCCTGGGGTTCATACTCTTCCTAGCACAGAGGCCCTGAAGGAGAGCTCTGCCGTCACAGCCCATGGGATAAAGCCTTCAGGTTGACCAGTTTCCTTAGAGCTCCCTTCATGTCCTTGTTCCTCAGGCAGTAGATAAAGGGATTCAGCACGGGGGTGACCACCATCTACATTACTGAAGCCAGAGAATCCTTGTCAGCTGAGTGGGAGGATGAGGGACTCCGGTAGACCCCTGTGATGGTCCCATAGAAGAGAATGACCACAGCAAGATGGGAGCCACAGGTGGAAAAGGCCTTTGGTTTGCCCCGGGCAGATGGGACCTGTAGCACAGCAGACACAATGTGGATGTAGGAGACGAGAATGCCAAGGAAGGGGATGAGGACCACCAGGTCCCCCTTCCAGCAGAATCATGAGTTGGTTGAGTTGGGTGTTGGGGCAGGAGAGCTGGATCAGGGGAGCAAGGTCACAGAAGGAGTAAGGGATGACGTTGCTGGCACAGAACTCCAGCCGGGCCATGAGGAGGGTGTGTAGCAGGGAGTGGAAGTTGGCGAGGTGCCAGGAGCTCCCCAGCATCAGGGCACAGACTGGCAGACTCATCATCGTGGAGTAGTGCAGGGGCTGGCAGGTCGCTGTGTAGAGGTCACGAGCCATGGCCGTCAGGAGGAAGTTGTCCATGTTGGCAAGCAAAATGCAGAAGTAGATCTGGGCTAGGCAGCAGCCATAGGAAATGGACTGAGTCTGTGTCTGGATGTTCACCAGCATCTTGGGGACTGGCGGAGATGAAGCAGAAATCTACCAGGGAGAGGTCGCTGAGGAAGAAGACCTTGGGCATGTGGAGGTGGGAGTCTGAGCCAATGGCCAGGATGATGAGCAAGTTCCCTGCTGCCCCAACCAGGTACGTGACAAGGAAGAGCCCGAAGATCAGCTCCTGCCTCTCGGGCTGGCTTGAGAGCCCTAGGAGGATGAACTCAGGCGATTGTGTGTGGTTTCGCCTCTCCATGGTTGGCTGGTCCTGCTAGGAGATCCAGACCAGGAGCAGACTTTAGAGAAGATGGAGGCGCCCATACCTCCCTCCTTCCCTCATATAATCCCTCAGCTCACATCTCTGTGTTCATTTGGTAGAAAGCCAAAAGAAGTCTCTCTACCTATCAACCGGGGAGTCCTGTGGCCTCAACACATCCCAAAGTCAGGATTTTAATGATTTTGCCACCAAAATACTAATACACCTGAGCCCCACAAAGCCCCATGTGCCATCTCTCCAAGGAGAATCCTTGTGACATACGGCCCAGTACTCAGTGGTGGCAACAAGGGGGCTACTTAGGGTGTCTTAGCCCCCCAAAATTCTATCATACTTTCATTCTTTGTTGTGATGTTGTCTCAGTATTAAGTAAAGAGCTATAGGAATGTAATTTCCTCCTACTCCCAATAGGATTGCCACCCGAAGGCCCTTGCTATACAGAATTCTGGAACCACAATGGCACATACGTGGAACCTGAGGGTAATATTCATAAACATCCTCCTTCCGCACAAACCTCCTTCCCCACCAGTATTTTATCTTCCGTGTTCTTCCACCCACATGGAGCCCAGGGATCAAGAAGCTCCGGCTGCCACTCGTCACCGACTCTGGGCCACCTTGGTCCTGGTGATGCTGTGGGATGGAGTTGGCCAGAGCAAACCTGGACAGAAAAGCCTGCTGACTGGGACAGCTCAGCCAACCCTTCTGTTGGGGCTGACCCAGGAAGGGCCTCACCTCTGGAGGGAGAGAGTTGCCCCTGCAGATAACAAAGAGAAACTGAAGGTGTAATGTTGCACAGAGTGGGCAGCAGGGCAGCATAGGGATCCCTCAAAGTTGGAGTTTGTAACAGTTCAGTGCGAGCTCAGCTGAAGTTTCACTAGATAGAAATGATTTTTCAGTGCTTCAAAAAAATAGTTAGTTGGGATTTGGGTCCTATAGAATGTAAATCATCAAGAGGGAGGGGGAGAAAGAAGCAACTGGAGTTACTGTGCTGCTTGGGGATGGGGAACAGCTGACGGGGGAAATCAGTCTGGAAAAGCTATGGGAATCGGTATGGCCCACCTGGGAACTGGGCAGGCAGTGGAATGGGTAAACGGTCTTGGGAGGCTTTGTGCCGCCATTTTGCTTGGAGCAAAGGAGCTTATCAGCTCAATTGGGCAGCGTACAGCAGGGATGGAGATTTCAGCTCTGCAGCAGGACCCAGCTGAGCTCTTGGCCTCTGTTGAGCTATGCCTTAGTATGGAAAATAAATGGCTCGTTTTGAATGAATGTTTTACTGATGTGATTTTTTTTTTAAAAGGATTTGAGTATTTGGCGACCCAAAGGCAAGAATCTTTGGTAAAGGACAACCATAAGATATAAATGCAGGAGGCTAAGAGAAATCTGTTTGGTGAAAAGTAAGAATGAAGGGAAACATGTATTTAATATGGGTTAAATCCTCATTTGATCAGTACTGATTAAAACAGCTCTAAAACTGGGTGATGTGAGAGATGAGAAAACAATGAAGGAGATGGTTCTTGTTCCCAAGAAGCTTCTAGTCGAATGGAAAGGTAACTCCTTAGCCTAGGGAGCTGACATTGAGCACCTACTGCGTGTCATATACAGGACTAGGTGTGTGCATGTATGTGCACGTATTTAATCCTCACAACATATATAAGGTAGGTGTTATTATTCTTATTTTACAGATGAGTAAACTGACACCTAGAGGGTTTGAATAATTTCCCCAAAAGACATCAGGATTTGATTCCAGGTTGGTCTGATTTCAAAGCAGTACTTTGATTTTTCTCAAAAAGACCAAGGAAGTGCCACGGGGTAAACTTAAACTTGGAGCATCAGTGTAAATGGATCAGGGAATCCTGCAGTGACCAGCACAGGGGCAGGAGGAGGGGAGTGTGGAGCAGGTTGGATAGGGCAGGGACATGGTGGAAGAGGGTCGCCTGTATTAGGGAGAGAGGGCTTGTTCGTGTGGCTGCAGCATAGGTGCTGAGACTGACACATGTGTGAATGGGAGCCGTGGTGCAGTGACAAAAGCTCTGTCCCTTTCTTGACTAACGTTCCTTTTGAACCAGGGTGTCTGCATCCTCTCTTTTCCTTCCCATCCTCCCACTTCCCCAGAGATATGGGAGAAGAAAATTTCCTTGTTAGTATGTCCCGCTGGTTAGGAAGAGAGTCTTTCCTAGTACTCCTATTTTAAGAACACCAAAGCTCAAAACGTCTAACTTCGAACAGAAAGGATTGCCAACCCCATAGCTTCTGGACCATTCCTGTCAGCATGCAGACATCCCCCAGTTTGAAAAATCCACCCTTGACCTCACATTCCCCTCTGGCCATCAGCTCATTTGTCTACTCCCCTTTTCCACAAAAGTCCTCAAAATGTGGTCAGTACTCATTCTCCAGTTCCCCCTTCCTATTCTCTCACGTAGCCCCCTTTTCAGGCCTCCCCACCAGTTCCTGGAACTTCCCTCCCTAAGGCCACCATTGCTCGTCTACTCAGGCTCCATCTCCCGAAACCCGACAGAAACCCAACAAGCTGGAGCCAGCACTGCTGGTCACTTCCCCCTTCTTCTTCTTCTTTTTTTAAATATGTAAAGTGATTTCATTACTTATTTATTTTTTAAAAATTTATTTATATTTTATTTATTTTTATTTTTGGCTGCATTGGGTCTTCGTTGCTGCGTGCGGGCTTCCTCTAGTTGCAGCGAGCGGGGGCTACTCTTTGTTGTGGTGTGAGGGCTTCTCATTGTGGTGGCTTCTCTTGTGGAGCATGGGCTCTAGATGCACTGGCTTCAGTAGTTGTGGCTCGCAGGCTCAGTAGTTATGGCCTTGTGGGCTCTAGAGCGCAGGCTCAGTAGTTGTGGCGCACGAGCTTAGTTGCTCCGCGGCATGTGGGATCTTCCCTGACCAGGGCTCGAACCCGTGTCCCCTGGTATTGGCAGGCCGGTTCTTAACCACTGTGCCACCAGAGAAGCCCTACAATCATCTCTTAACCGGGCTCCCTAAAGCCTCAGCAGTCTGTTTTTACACAGCATCCAGGGTTGAATGTTAAGATATGTAAGTCAGATCATGTTACTTCTCTGCTCAGAATCCTCCAGTGGCTTCCCATCCCACTCAAAACGAAACCTAGAGTGCTTGCCAAATCTCACAGGGCTACTCATGACCTGGGCCTCTGCCCTCTCCCTGACCTCACCTCCTTTATTGCCCCTCACTTTTGGCAGGCCAGCCACGATGGCCTCCTCACTGTACCTGGACACATCAAGCACGTTCCTACATTAGGGTCTTTGTACTTGTTATCCCACTGCTGAGAATTCTGTCCGTTATGATTTACTTCAGTTTGATTTCTGCTAAAATGTCACCTCTGTTCAGGGTTCCCCCACCAGCTATCAAAAATAGTACCCCTGAATCTGTCTTCTTTCTTATTTTTTCTTTGTGTTTATTCTCAGCACCATCTCTCTCTCTTATCATCTGTATTATCTATCTAATCATCTATTATCTATCTATCTATCTGTCTATCTATCTATCTATCTATCATCACTGTGTTTCTCTAGAATATAAGCTCATGAGAATGAGAGCAGGAACTTTATGTATTACCATATTCCCAGTTTCTAGGACCGTGTCTGGATATAGGAGACATCAATGTTGTTGAACAAATGG